CACACCCCACAGACGCTGAGATGGGGAGCAGCGTGGGGGACACAGCCCACAGACGCTTAGATGGGGAGCAGAGCTGGCTCAGTAGAAGCCACATTTGCCTTCTCCACCTGGTACATTTTTTTGGGGGAAGGTTTTTGCTATAAGGCGCGTGCACTCGCCAAAAAGACAGAGAGAGATAGAGAGCCAGAAAACAAGAAATCACTCCCCGGGGGGGATGGCTACGCCGCAATCCCTTCTCCTCCATTCTCCTCTCGGGATCTTGGGCACGCACGCACACGCACCCGGTGTGAGTTTTAGCCACCAGGTCCGGGACTCGAACTGTGGTTGACTACGTGGGAGTCCAACAACATAGCCATTAAACCTCGATTCTCACCCCTCATTTTTTTTTTTTTAAAGGTTTTTGTCATAGGGTGTGTGTGTGTGTGTGTGTGTGTGCCAGAGAGAGAGAGAGAGAGAGAGAGCGAGAAGGAAACTGAGAAGTCACCCCCTGGCGGGATGGCCACTGTGCAATCCCTTCTCCGTTCTTCTCCTGGGATTTTGAGCACACACGTACGCGCATCTTTCAAGCCATGGCGTCTGGGACTGCAATGGCAGTCGGCCCTATGGGAGTCCAGCACCTTCACCACTGTGCCACCTGCTGCCCCCCCCCCCAATCAGATACTTTAATGAGTGCGCAACCTACACAGCAGTGCAGAGCACACTGCACTCCCCCTCTCCTTACTAACACTGCCCAGTTTTCTGCAAGTTGCCGTGTCCTCCAGAGGCTGACCCCATCCCAGTGGCAGGGTCTGAGGCTAAGCCAACCCAGGGGTCCCCTCCACCTTGCCTCAGAACAGGTCACATGGGCACATGGCAGACGCAGTCCTCACCCATGAGACACGGGGGGTGATGCTGGAGGGCTTCCGAAGGTTCCCGTGGCGATACTGCGACGTGCACATTTCTGTGTATCTGGTCTTTGTCTCCATTTCCCGGCACGGAGCCCCTAAAATCTTTGGATTTTGTTTGTTTTTAAATTTGCTAGAAGGTGTATGTGCACATCTGAGAGAGACAGAGAGAGAGAGAAACGTGAGAAGGCGCCCCCGGGGAGGATCGCCACAGCAAAATCCCCTCTCCTCCATGCTCCTCTCAGGATTTGGGGCATGTGTGCACACATGCTTGGTGTGTTTTTTAAGCTACCGGGTCTGGACTCGAACCGCACAGTCAGGCATGTGGGATCCAGCCTCCTTAACCATCACGCCAGCGGCTGGCCCAATCCTTGGCTTTTGTATGGCATGTGAATGAGTTGACTGATGGCAGCTGGGGGCTGTCGCTGAAAAGACCAAGGGAGGATTAGAGGGTTCCAGCAGCAGCCCCACCCCCCAGCCAGGAACCAGGGGTTGAAGTTGATTGCCAGTGGCCAATGATGTAATCAGTCACACCTGTGTAACGGAACTTTCACGGACACAGAAAAGGCCAGGGTTCTGGGAGCATCCCGACGGCCGGCCACGTGGAGGCTGCTGGGCCGAGGGGGAGCAGTGGCCGGGGGTGGAGGTGCCCAGAGAGGGGATGGGAGCTCCATGGCCCTTACCCCGTACCTTGCCAGCTTTCCGTCTCTGTCCTTTGTAATACCGGTTATCATAAACCAGAGCGTGTGTTTCCCTGAGTTCCGTGAGTCCCTCTCGCAAATCAACCAAACCCCGGGAGAGGTCGTGGAAACACTTTACATGGAGTAAGTCAGAGCACAGGTCAAGCAGCCTGGGGCGCGTGACAGGCACTGAGAGGGGTGGGGCTGTCCCGGGGGCTGAGGCCGCAACCTGTGGGCTGGGACATGATCTCCAGGTAGACAGCATTACAACTTAATTTTCTTAAAAAGAATTAATTTTAGGAATCAGCAGTTGGCATAATGGCTGTGTTGCTGGACTCCCATGTAGTTGACTGAGGTTCGAGTCCCGGACCCAGTGGCTTCAACTCAGGCTGGGCACATGTGCATGCGTGCCCAAGATCCCGAGAGGAGAATGGAGGAGAAGGGATTGTGGTTTGGCCATCCCCCCCAGGGGGTGATTTCTCACTTTCTGTCTTTCTGTCTTTCTCTGTCTTTCTGGCGAGCACATGCGCCGTATAGCAAAATCCTCTGGAAAAAAAAAAATATATATAAATACACACACACAGATCATTTTTATTTAACTTTATTTTTATTTGTATTTTAATTTGACAGAGAGAGGGAGAGAGAGAGAAAGCAAGAAAGCAAGCCGTGAGGTCCGGGACTCGAACCATGGCCGGCCATGTGGGAATCCAGCGCCCTTAACCACCACGCCACCTGCCAGCCCCATCATCAGAACTGAACTGATCGAGCACACCAGCTGGTGTCCACTCCAGAACTAACCCCTGGCTGGCCCGTAGGAGAAACCCCCACATTTGTTCTCAGAAGTCTTCGGTACTGGTTGTTGAGTGGAGTATGGGGAGACCTAGTTGGCTTATTTCCTAGTTCTTCGGACAGTCACTCTTTGAAAGAGACCCAAGATAAGAATGAGTCTCTCTTTTTTTTTCTGGAGAGGTTTTTGCTATAGGGCGCGTGTGCTCAGCAGAGAGGCAGAGAGAGACAGAGAGACAGAAAGCAAGAAATCACCCCCCAGGGGGGATGGCCACACCGCAATCCCTTCTCCTCCATTCTCCTCTCGGGATCTTGGGCATGCACGCACATGTGCCCTGTGTGAGTTTAAGCCACCGGGTCCAGGACTCGAACCGCAGTCGACTATGTGAGAGTCCAGTGACATAGCCATTACGCCAACTGCTGGTCCCAAGGATGTCTCTTTCTGCTGCCATGGGAACAGGCTATCTGCATGTTATCTCTCTATCTGCGGCAGCCCTTTGGGGCCCATGAGACAACTGGGCTAAGAGGAGCTGAGAGTCACAGCAAGATGGTTGGGGTCTCGGAAAAAAAAGACGTTGCTTTTTTTTTTTTTTTTTGAGAGAGAGATTTTTGCTCTAGAGCGTGTGCACTTGCCAGAGAGATAGAGAGACAGAAAGTGAGAAATCTCCCAGGGAGATGGCATGCCGCAATCCCTTCTCCTCCATTCTCCCCTCAGGATCTTGGGCACGCAAGTCCAGACGCCTGGTGTGTGTCAAGCCACCGGGTCTGGGACTCGAACAGCAGTCGACTAGGTGGGAGTCCAGTGACATAGCCCTTAGACCAACTGCTGGTTCCTGAGCTGCAGAATGAGCTAACCTCGGCTGTGCCACCTCTGGTGTTGTGCGAGACATGCGAGTGTGTTCTCTGAGCACGTTTGCTGGTGCTTCTATCACTTGCAGCCCCAAGCTGCAGAGAAAGGTCTTGATGTAACAGGGCGCGGCTCTGGCCTTGGCACTGATCTTGGGGAGCAGACAAGGGGCTGCAGAGACTGGGCTGGCTAGTGCTTGAGCAGCGGGGACAGGTCTGCCGCAATCCCCGTCCACTCGGGCAGGAAGGCTGCCCCTGGCTTTAAGAGGTTGAGGGAGG